CAGTAGCGACCACAATATGATTGACTTTTGTCTCAACATACGTCCACACAAAAATCACCACAATGATGTAATTCCCAATTGTAACTTCAAAAAAGGCAACTATGATCTTATACACAACGATCTCTCATCCCTTGATTGGCAATCTCTATTCACTGGATGCAATACTGTTGAAGACCATTACAACATATTTTTACTTGAAGTCAAAAGAGTCATCAAACTATATGTACCAACAACAACTCCCAAAACAAAACAAAAAAGCAGATTACCCATATCAATAAGGAAACTTCAATCCAAAAAGAGATCACTCTGGCGGAAAAACAAATCTGGTCACATTGCCAATTTCAAAAACCGATACAAAAATTTATGCCACCAGATAAAGACCGAATGCACCAATTATCACATTAAACAAGAGGAAAACCTTCTAAGCACCAATTCCACCCGTGCTTTTTACAATTTTGTAAACAACAAACTAAAAGACTCAAGGTCCATCCCTCCCTTGATAGGACCTGATGGTAAAGACTGCAACAACGACACCATTAAAGCCAACATCTTTAACACATTCTTCGGCTCAGTATTTGTAAACAGCAATGGATCATGCCCAGTATTTCCTAGCCGTACCACAGATAACAACAATGATCTAATACATATCGATTTCACAGAAGACAATGTTGAAAAAGCACTACGCAACCTAAAACCATCTCTACCTATTGGACCGGATGGAATATGTGCCTACTTCTTAAGAAAGCTATCCACTGCCATAGCCAAACCTCTAAGCATAATCTTTGAAAAATCTTTCAGAACCAGCTCCTTGCCTAACCTATGGTCACAAGCCACAGTCATCCCCATCTTCAAAAAGGGAGACCCAAGCCTAGTTGAAAGTTACAGGCCAATCTCCTTATGCTGCGTCACCTGTAAAGTCATGGAATCAATTATTAACCAATCCATCATCCTTCACTTAGAGACAAATAACCTACTCTCCAATAAACAATTTGGTTTCAGAAAAAAACTATCCTGTAATCTGCAACTCTTACACTGCAAAAACATATGGACGACACAACTCGACCAGGGCAAAGCAGTAGACGCAATCTACATAGACTTCTGTAAAGCCTTTGATTCAGTGGTACACGACAAACTACTCCTAAAAATAAAATCCTATGGTATCTCTGGACAACTGAATAACTGGATAGAAGCATTCCTGTCAAACAGACAACAAATGGTCAAAATCGGGAGCGTACTATCAAATCCAGTACCTGTCAATAGTGGTGTTCCCCAAGGTAGTGTTCTAGGACCAACTCTCTTCATACTCTACATAAACGACCTCTGTGATCATATTAAGAGCAATTGCGTTCTCTTCGCTGATGATGTAAAGCTGTTCAATTCCACAGACAATACTGCTACCCTACAAAAAGATCTTGACTATGTATCAGAGTGGTCAAACAAATGGCAACTTCAAATCTCAACAAATAAATGCTCTGTCTTACATATTGGCAAAAAAAATCAGAAAATAAAATACAAGCTGAATAGTCAAGATCTTGTTGATGACTCAAGCTCTGTAAAGGACCTTGGAATACTCACCTCTAATGATCTAAGTGCTAGAGCCCACTGCAACTACATAGCCAAAAAGGCATTAAGAGTTGTTAACCTAATCCTACGTAGCTTTTTCTCTGGTAATATCACACTACTAACCAGAGCATACAAAACATTTGCTAGACCAATACTCGAATACAGTTCATCAGTCTGGAACCCACACTACGTATCTGATATTAGCACAATTGAGAAAGTCCAGAAATATTTCACAAGAAGAGTTCTCCACTCCTCTACTCGTTGTAGAATACCTTATGCCACCAGACTTGAAATTCTAGAACTTGAAAACCTTGAATTACGCCGTCTTCGGTCTGACTTAAGCATGGTATATAAAATCATACATTGCAATGTCCTACCTGTCAATGAATACTTCAGCTTCAACCATAACAACACAAGAGCACACAATAGATACAAACTCAAAGTAAACCGCACCAAACTTGATTGCAGGAAATACGACTTCAGCAATAGAGTGGTCAATGTCTGGAATACTCTACCCGACTCTGTAGTTTCTTCCACAAACCCCAAAAACTTTAACCTTAGACTGTCTACTATTGACCTCACCCCTTTCCTAAGAGGTCTGTAGGGGGCGTGCATAAGCGCACCAATGTGCCTACCATCCCTGTCCTATTGTTTCTCTTATTCTTTTATTTTTCTTATATGTACCCATTTCATGTATTCACAACTATGTATACATTTATACTTATTATCTTGTAAACAATTGGCAAATCAAATAAATAAATAAATAAAATAAATAAACAACAAGACAACAAGTGTCAACTTTGGCACCAGAGAACAGGGTGGCAGGAGTCCAAAAGGGCAAAGATGGGGAGAGATAGGTGATACATAGATACTTTATGAACATTAGTAGCCAAATTCTTTAAAATTCAAATCATTTCTATTTTTGAAAAAATCTGTGTTTTTCAGAAAAATTAATATACTCTCTTGAATTGCCAATTTGTGCCTCCATATATTAATAAGCTCTGAATTAAGTAAAGTCACAGAAAACTTTCTGTAATTTATCCTGTGTAATGTTAGTATTTCACTCAGAAGTTCTCTCTTCTTATAGGAAAACACTCTATTCCAACCCCTCCATTCCACCACCAAATTTCATTAAAATGTCCATTAGTCTATCCATAATTTTTTTAATGTTACTTTCTCCTTGTTTGGGGCATAAATTCCAACTATCAGAGCCTTAACCCCATGCAAATTATCTTTCAGTATAGGTTCTGGTGTAGCTGGGAGTGAATATAGAAAATAACCCCATTTCTTTCATTAAAAAACCCATTGTTTGCTATGGGGCTTTTCTTTTTGCCGGAAACTGGGAGTTAATGCTGATTTCCGACAAAAACAACACAAATTGCAGTCCTGTGACTTTGGATGCTGCAAATGGCTATAAATGTGAGCCAGTTGCCAAATGCCCAAAATGCAGTCATGTGACTACAGGGGAAAGGCAACCATCGGAACTTTGCATCCAGATCATAAGTACTGTATTTTGGCGGCGTGATCGTCATAAGATTGAACAAAGCAATTGGTTGTAAGTCAAGAAATACTGACAATACAACTTGATTTAAATTAGTAAAGACAAAATAATATAATAAAGATCTTGATCCAAAACTGAAAAATGTGAAAGAGATTAACATTTTGATAATACGAGTCTCTTTGCCATGAACTTCATGAACTCCCAAGTTATGGAAAAGGATTCCAGAATAAAACTAAATGTTAAAGTGTTTCAGATTTTCAAATCTTAATATGTTCTTCGTAAGGAATTCATTTTTCAAAACAAAATAAAATTCAAGTAAAACAAAATCATGGTTTGATTAAACTCTATATGATCTGTTATTCTCCCAAGAATCAGGAAGATGTCATTTTAGATTTTAAATGCTTTTTATTTGGTCTTTCTGCAATGCAGTTTCCAGCCTTTTTTCCTTTTAAATAAATTTTAGCATTAATATAATAACTTAAAAGTGTGTCATGTTTTCTATGTCTACTTCAATTTAAGTTCTCATAAAGTTAAAAGCAGATAAAGTAAAATGTGAAATTTGATTAAATATGTTGGAAACTATTTCTGTGACACTGTTAAACCTTTACCTTAACTTTTCTCCAAAGGATTTCAAAAAATGTGCATTTGATTATATATCCTGAAAATAAAAGATGAGCAAAAATTTAAAAGAAATATAATAGGTCACGGTTGCTGTAGATGTGAATTTTGAAAGATGCTACCTGAGATCATAGACCGACCTGCAGCCACAAAACATCCTGCTTTGTGTGCATCCCCCACACATACACACATAATCTTTGTGACCCAACTGCTAAAACTCAGCAGTATTGTTTACCATTGTTTTTTTTAAAAACAACTACCCAACCATCCCTCTCAATTTCAAGGCAAAAACCAGAATCTCTATTATGCCCATGTGAGCAACTTTACATGATTGCAATGTTTCCTGCACTCCACAGCATTTTCCAAAAATGTTTAAATGCAGCCGTCAGTTACCCAAGATTGTCCTCTCCTTACATAAAAAATAAATAAAACAATTAGCACTGCTGCAGATAATGAGTGAAAGAACTTGTAGAAGGTCCTCTTTGTCAAGCTTTGAGGGATTAAAAGTTGCCAAGATTTAGCAAATGTTCACATTCTTAAAATTACTTTCTGATTTTAAGCACCAGTTTCAAGTCCCTAGTCTTAAATTCAAGATAAGAACCTCCATCCAGTAACGTCAGTGGTGGGATTCAAATTTTTTTACTACCGGTTCTGTGGGCATGGTGTGGCTTGGTGGGTGTGGCTTGGTGGGCGTGGCAGAGGAAGGATACTGCCAAATCCCCATTCCCTCCCCACCCCACTAACCTGCTTTCCAGCTCCAATCTCCTGTGCAGGACAACAAAAGAAGACCCAGCCGATCAGCTGGGACTCAAGAGGCAGAGAATAGATGGGGGCAGGGACAGTCAGAGGTGGTATTTGCTGGTTCTGCGAACTACTCAAAATTTCTGCTACCGGTTCTCCAGAACTGGTCAGAACCTGCTGAATGCCACCTCTGAGTAACATGCTTGTGTGAACTTTCCTATAGAGGGGTAAGCAGTGCTGCCAGAAAGAAAGGAAAATGCATGGTATCCAATGGCCCAGACTCAACACTACATCCTGTCTGGCATGTTAAGATACCCCTTTCTATCTTGCGTGGTTATATTGGTATGTTGTATTTCCATAGTAGCAGACCTTTTGTTTATTTAAATAACCCCAAATAGTGTTGAACATTAAAAGAGTTTAAGGTTGGAGACTGAATAGTAAATACACTGGGAAACATTTGCATATTTGCTTGGCTTTTATAGAGTTTAATAGAATGGAAGACTGATAAAGATGTCTTGCAATTAAAAGGATGTAAATTGCTAACAGATATTCCATTTGTTTTCTCCCACTTTCCCAGCTATCCATATAGTGAAGATTGTTGCCAGGGAATGCAATACATGAACACTAGATGTCCAGCTTGGTGTGACAGAATCCTTATGTCACATTCTGCCAAAGAAGTTGTTTTGAAGGTAAAAATTTATTTGAAACAGTTGGGTATGTTCTTATACAATTAGTTGTATTCTATCCACTTCCATGGACCCAAGGTAGTTTATAAACAATGGAAATGGAGAATTTTTTAAAAAAAAAAACATGTACCAAGGCAACCTAGCTCCATCATCCACATCAAAAGTATGTCAACACAATACTTTTTAAAGCCTTCCAAAACATGAACCTCAAACAGAACAATGTTTCATATAATGAATGCTGTGACCAAGGAAAAACAGTTCTGGACCCCTCTTGAAATTCACATCCTACTTTTTCACCAACTGAGTTCTTAGGATAACTAACAAATAACTAACATTTGACTTGTTCCCTTATCACAAAATGTATGAACTCTTGCAGTACAATGGGTCTGCCTCTGAAGACCACTTAGAAGTTCCTATGGATGAGAAAACAATGGCCTGCATGCTGATTAGTGAAAGCTGCTACAGCTATATTTGTGTTGCAGACTGTGCAGTGACTTTTAGTAAGCTTCTGAGTGCAATTCAAAGTGTTGGTTTTTACTTTTAAGGCACCATTATAGCTGGACACCTAAATATCTTCTTGATCGCTTTCCTCAGGAGGATATGCTCATCCTTTTCTTTGTCTTTCCTTGAACATATTTCTCTTGAGAAGCGAAACGTCCTCAAGGAAAAGCAAAGAAAATCCAGTTGCCTTTTGAAAAAGCCTTTTGAAAATCCAGTTGCCTTTTGATGGAACAACCATCACCTGGATGACTGAGAATTTCCATAGACACTGCAGCTGGTAACATTAGCAGATATTACAGCCACCTTACTTCACCAATATGTAGCTGTTCTCTGTACCAGCTGGATTTCTAATTCATTGATATTTGTACCCTTCATTTTGAAGCCCAACATTTAACTGCTCCCTTTTTTAATGAAATAACTTTCTGTTTTTAATTTCTTCTTGCAGTAGTATTTAACATGGCAGCAATATATGATTAAGATGGTTCAGGATATGGTTCAGATGCTGGAATGGTTCAGGATGTAGCTAGATCTGTTAATTTAGTTCAGGGCAGATCTGTTTGCATATCTGAAGTTCTTCTTTTCTGGGAACTAATGCATAGAATGGATTTCTTTTTCTGGAACCCTTGGGGCCAGATAAAAAAAATTATCATAGAGAATTTTTCCAGACCTGGACAGATAATCCTCAGCTTATGACTACAATTGAGCTCTAGATTTCTGTTACTAAGCGAGACAGGTGTTAAGTGAATTTTGTCCCATTTTGCCACCTTTCTTTCCACGATTGTTAAGGGAATCTCTATAGTTGTTAGCAACACAATTGTTAAGTGAACCTGGCTTCACCATTGACTTTGCTTATCAGAAGCTCGCAAAAGGTGATTGTGTGACCTCTGCAACCTTCATAAATATGATATAGTTGCTAAGCATCTGAATTTTGGTCACATGACCATGGGGTTTGCTGCAATGGTTATAAGTATGAAAAACAGTCATAAGTCACTTTTTTCAGTGCTGTTGTAACTTTTAGCAGTCACTAAATGAACTATTGTAAGTAGAGGACTACCTGTACTGATCAAAAGTTTCCCTTGCTAAATTTCTTGTATGTGGAGAAATTTACTATTAAAACCTTACCATACGAATGCTGACTCTAAAACGTAATGGGGAAAGTCATTGTTCTCAATCTGAATTTCCCATTTTTAAATTGAGATAAGTGAACAAACAAGCTTTAAAGCCCTTTGCTAGCTTTGAGATGCTACATGGGAAGTAGTGAGAATAAGATTTCACAACTGCATTGTGAGCCCCTGCAGTTTTGTTTGATATTTGTTTGTTGAGGGGGAGAGTTTTTATCTATGCCCAAATTAGTAGACAGCCATAACCATCAGCTCCACACAGTGGGCTTTACAGATTGTACAGACATGGGTTGTAAACAGCTTTTGCACAGCCTCATTTATCATGCCATGGTCCGTTACCTCCCTAGCATGTTATTTTATGCTTGCTGAGCCCTAACACACCAAAGGTTGCCCGCTGTTTGGGAGTCACAGAACTGCCTGAGAGCATAGTGTAATGAATGCTCAGCTGAGTGGAGCGTGTTCATGCGCTAGTGTAATTTGTTTATCTGTCTAAAGATTATGCACTTGAAAATCTACAATTTGATGCTGCCTTTGTAAATTATCAAGTCGTTTTTGATGAATGTATCTCCACTTCCGATAGCAGTGGCATTATGAGCTTGAAATATTAGAAAGTGTTCATGCATGCAATGCAGAAGGTTACGGTTGTGTATGTGTGCGCGCGCACGCGTGTAGATAGATAAAGATACAGATTTCTAGGCAAGCATGCTAGGAAGCAAATGTGACCCTAAGCTTTCCTACTGCATTAAAAATAATTCAGTTTTAACTTTATAGTCCAAAATGTGGCTGTTTTTATATAAAATTCTTACCCAGTCAACCTTGACTTGATTATAGATGAGGGAAAGCTTGACCGTTTATCATTTGAAATAAATTAGGGTGGTAAACCAATTGCAAGCACAGCTGCGCATGTACGTATGTATGAGAGATCTGGGGAGAGACTATGGGTTCCAGATTTAATTATCTCCCAGTTTAACCAGCCTGAGAAATTGCGAGGCAGTCTCTCTCTCTTAAGTCATTGCTTTAGCAAGGTCATTATGCTAGATAAACAAAACAGATGTTGGAGTGGTCGATGCAGTAGCAAAAGCTGTGGCAATGTAATTATCTGTTTGAAGGGAAGAAGGGAATAAAATGCCAGTGCCGAATGGAAATAAAACTGGGTAGTAATAATTTTAATAATGTTCGGCTGCTGCTACTAAAGTCAATGGCACAATTGTCCTTGATGTTACTGTTTTCACTCTTTGAAGCTTGTAGTTGTGTCAACATCTAATTGAAAGCCAGAACCACAGAAATCAAAACTTAATTCCAAAGAACTTTATTTAAAAATGGGTCTTGGTGAAGAAATCTGACATACACGTGCGTGTGTGTGTGTGTGTGTCATATTGTTCTTTTTCCCGTTTCTATGTTATTTCCATTTTTTATCAAGAGATTTAACTAAGGTTACATTTAAATTTAACCAAGGTTCATATCTATTCTGGTAAAAAGTTTAAATTGGATGCATAAATCAGTTTTATGAGTGTCCTAATCAATTAAGACACTTCATTTGTTTGTTTGTTTGTTTGTTTGTTTGTTTGTTTATTTGATGAAATTTCTACACCACCCATTTCACCTAAGTTGCTGCATTTATGTCAGAAGCACTGAGGTGCTTCCTGGTTAAAAGGATTAGCTGGTGACATGACTGTTGCCCTGGGGACCCCCAGTTGGGGACTCCTTTCATGCCCCTGGCATGAGCTGGAAGACATGAAAGGACCTTGCCACATGGCAGCTCTCATGTCTCGAACGCTGCTCCTATCTCACCTAAATGACTATTTTAATAATGAATGAATAATTGGGAGCTTAAAAATCTGAGATTGACAAGTGTTTCAGATAAAGACAACAGGACTGAAAACACTTTAGATGAACGGTCCCCAACCTTTCCGGTTCTACAGACTGAATGAGGGGGGAGAGGGGATAGTTTCGTGCATGCGCCACTTGCACAAATGCAGCTTCGTGCACGCACTTGCCGCTTGCATGGGCCAATTCCTATGGGCCATGGCCTGGCACTGAGCCACGAACCAGCTCTAGATGACCTTATCAACTTAAACATTATGTTAAAATTAATCCATTCAAACCAATTGAACTCAAGTTTTTCTACTATACCAACATGGTTACAATGGAAGTGGATGCCTTGATACTAAAATAAATTCAATTTATTGTGTATGAAGTTTCATCCTTAATTCACATGCTAAACAGAGTCACTTGGATTAAGATACAGCCTTATTTATTTTAGTTAATTAATTGACTAGTAAAAATCTCATAAGATAATTGATTAATAGGTTTGATCTGTTGACAGTGTTTTATAGAAGATGTATTAATGACTGCATCTTCAGAGACCTGATCATTTCCAATTAAGCTTTCATTTTAGCTAATTTTAACAGTTTTAAGTCCTGTAATTTTTAAAACTCACTCAATGAAATAACATGGACATGGGCTTCTGACTGGATGCTCCAATGATCTTTGCTAACTTTGGAGAAAGCATGGAATGCAGGAAGAGTTGCTGAAATCCCCAGTTCTACACCTTCTCGCTGTTTGTATTTGCTGACTTAAGTCAAATACAAGTAAGTAGAAATTGTTTGCAGTGCAGTAACAGAATTGAAGGTGTTTAACTCTATGCTCTGTAGACTTTGGAAAAATAATGGGTGCATTGAGAAACTTCCTTGAATGCAGCAAGTTGCTTGGTTTCGTTTTGAAATGTGAGAGTGTATCGTTTTTAACATTAGCGATCCAAAGTTATGTGTACCTCTTTAAAAGTAGAGATCATTTAGTTCTATAGTCAGATTTCCAGAATTCTAGTTAAAATATGACCCACCCTGTTAAGTTGCTATATGGTTGTAAATTAATATCCATTAATTAATATCCAATTAATATCCATTGTAAATTAATATCCTTGAAAGCAAACTGCTTTCTCCATCTATAGCTAAAGTAATATTTAAGTCAAATAATAGTATCAGAGTACTGCATTCTCATGATGCTGTTAATTTTAATAACCCTTATTTTCAAACATCATGTATGTATGGTAAATAATTAAAAAAAAATATTTTTCAGTTAATTTGGTTTACCGATCTACATAACTATGTTTCTGAACCCTGGGCAAATGCTTTCCACAAAATATCAATACTGACTAGAAGCTTCTTTTATGTTTTCACTCAGTCTGAAAATGATGAACGGCAAGTGGTGTATGACCATATAGGACCAAATGTCTGCATGGGGGACCACAAGGTAATCTTATTTACTTCTATTATGGACACCCCAGTTCATTTGGGGCAGATCGGGTGGGGTGGGCAGCTGCAGGTAAATTGAATCTGGAAAGACACGGACCTCTGACAGTAACCAGAATACTGGTTATTCTGGCAGAATATGGACCTAGTGCAACAGGAAAGGATGAGCAGGATTCTTGGCAGGCATTTGTGCAGTTGCCCAGCCTTATTCAAAAGTTACCTGCAGACATGTTTATTTTCATGAGAATTAACCTGCATTAACTATTCACATAGCTTTTATGAAAAAAATCCAGGTAATATTGTCCTAATTATGCAAACAACTTTTTATTTTTTCAAAACAGAAAATAAACCATGGGGGGGGGGGAAACACACAGTATAGCTATGCTATGGCTTTTTTGTTATTGTTGTTAATACAGTATTAGAAACTAGCTCATGGAATTTTACAGACAGTGAAAATTTTATAGGAGACCCAAGGATCGCTTCCTCCCTCGTAAGCATTCATTCATGTAAAATACAAGTTCTAGGCTGCCATTTGATCAGAACTGTCACTCTAGAAAGTAGTCTAGGGCTATCGTAAAGAGTGCCCTCATATAAAACCCAGGGAACGGATTAGGTCTAATTTGAGGGCATATTTCAATACGATCTGGATAGGAGAAGACTTGAGGAAACCTGTAGGGTGAAAGAAGAGGGGTGAGGCAAAAAGACTTTGCTTTTCAGAGTGTTTTATGGGACAGTTAATAGAATAGAGAGATAAAGTTGGAAAGGGAGAAAAAAGAGGGTGAAGAAACATGATTTAAAAACAGCCTACTAGAAACTGTTCTCCCAAATCTGAAAAGCATTGGTTTTTCTGAAACATCTCAGAAAGCAGTAAAAAATAGAGCTGCCTGCATCCTTGAATGAGTTGGCACTTTTTGCCTAAAACTGCATTGGCACAGAAAGCAGCCTTGTGTGCTTCAAAAGACATATTTTGATAAGATTTACAGGTATTTGAAAGAGGGGAGGTAAGGCTAGTTTGGAGGGCAGGGAACAGAATCCCAAAAGAAGGCAGCGGGGGAAACCCCTTCCATATATTTGGCAAGGAAACTCCTTGAACCTTCCGTGAAGTCATGAATAGTGGTCCTTAATTCAAAGGCAGACGTCATTATTGGAAAATTCTGGTTTAAACTAATAACAGAATGACGTCTCTTCTGGTGAAGTTAAAACGGTTTGGGAATTTCTTTCCTTCACCTCAAAGGATGGGGGCCAAATCAGAACTTGATCCAGGCTCAGTAATGTCTACAGTGGACCCACTGTAGTCCTTGATTTCAGAGGACCTGAGCTTAACCCCCTTCCCCTGACCCAGCAGCATGGCTACAGGCCCCCACTGCCTCTGGGATCCAGCTTGGGAGAAGCCATCTAGCACCTAGCGCCTCGGGAAGGGCCACCCCCTAGAACAGAGGTCTCCAAACTTGGCAACTTTAAGACTTTTGGACTGGCTGGAGAATTCTGGGAGTTGAAGTCTACAAGACTTAAAGCCCTAGAAGCATTCCAGGTGTGCAGCCTATGGCAGCTTTACCTTTTAACTGCCTTCTTTTTCCTCCGCAGCCCGTGTTCCTGTCCTTTCGAATAGCCGCTGGGGCAGGTAAACCTATTGCCAATATGCACAAGTGTTGTGTCGTGCAGTGACGTGGTGGTAAATATCACGTTAGATTTTTTTCTTATCTGCTCTTCCCTCTCCCTTCCCTCCCTTTGAAGGTCTAGTTTTGCTTCCTTTTCCCCTTTCTCACCCACCCCTCTTTTTGTGGGGCATTGTTTGCTTTTCTTCTTGGCTTTCTTTTTTTTTTAAAAAAAAATCTTCTTGGTTTTGAAAAGAGAGCAACAGCTGTTCATCAATTCTACAACAGGAAAAAGATGCCTCCGACATGAGAAGATACTTCGGGAAAGTTCATTATAGCGAGGAGGAAGAGGAGGAGGAAGCTTCAAACTCCCGCCCATCGCTTAAATCGTGACAGCTCTAGCCATCCATCCATCAAGTCCTGCGTGCCCTGTTCTTCTTTTATTATTATTACTGTTCTTGTTATTTTAGGCTGTTTATGCTCCACTAGCTTATTTCTGGCGTGGACACAAGTCCCCACCACCCCCAAAAAATCTCTTATACCTCACTGTCTTGTATATTCTTGTGTCATCAAAAGTGGACTTTTTATTTTTATATGGCAATGCCTATGTTATACTACAGTCTGGTTGCCAAAACACACCTACAAAAAAATCCTCATATTAATTTTTTTTTTCCACAGTGTTTTGTGTCTTGGATTTCACTGTGAGGTTTGTGTTTTTAGTTGGTCAATGTGGAATGAGTGTGTGCATACATGTATATATGTAGACACACTTTCCATGTTAAGACCGTTTTTCAGCACCCTTCCCTAGCTTAAAGCCAGGTTGGGATTTTATATATTGCCTTGTATAGAAGTCCTGCTGTGTTATTATTGTTGTTGTTTGATCCTGTGATATTTGGGGGTGGGAAAAAGGATCCAAGTTTGTTTTGTTTGGGTTTTGTTTTGTTGTCCTTTTTATAACTTGTTTTCTCATGTTATTTACTATACTGCCATGTTCCATGGTTTCTGAATCACACAACAGCAGCTGCTTTCTATACGTGTATATATTTATATATATATTGTATGTGAGTGTGTATAGAGATATATATATATATACACAGATATAGAAATAATTTATAATTACAAACGGTCTTGTCTTTCCTGATACAAATAAGACTTTTTCCAACAATAAGATCCCTGTTGTCCGGCAGGAAATTCTGCCACCGGGTTATTCACCTCTGGATTAACTTGCAACCCGAGGGAAAAGGGAGGCAGGGTCCGCCGTGGGAAGGGGAGGCTGTTGGACGCTTCACATACACACACAGACACACACCCCTCCTGAAACGCGTTTCCTCCACGGTAGAAAGGGCCGGCTTTTCACGGAGACACCCCCCCCCTCCGGGGGCGTCTCGTCTCGCCCGGGCTCAGCGCTGACCAGGTGTGAGGCGCGTTTCAGGAGGCGAGCGTGAGCA